AGAGAGTGGGTCGTCCAGAGTATCGACCTCTGGCTTGTCGGCCAGCCCCACTCTGCGGGCGCCACGTGAAGTACTCTCCTTACTCTTGATTGACGCGCGAACACATGTGCATGTGCATGCAGACGCTCCGCAACCTCCGTCCGCATCGATCGCCCTCCCTCCCTCCCTACCTACGACTGACTGTGCATACAACATCTCTCTCTCTCTCTCTCTCTCTCTCTCTCTCTCTCTCTCTCTCTCTCTCTCTCTCTCTCTCTCTCTCTCTCTCTCTCTCTCTCTCTCACTCTCTCTATAGCGAGCTATATCTGCCAAAAGCACACATCTGCGTGCAGTGGATTTCCATGTAGGTCGCGCCCAGCGAGCGGACAACCGCGGGTCTCGGATGCTCTCCCGGACGCGAGCCCACCGTGCGAGTGGCGGACCCGGAGGCGGCCGGCCCAGCTCACCCCCAGAGAGGCCATGGCCAGGGTCAGGCATAAAAGGGGGGTTTTTTCCGTCCGTCCGTTCTTGAAGCTACCTACCTACCTACCTACCTACCTTACTTATGGGGAAACTAAAAAAGAAATCATCGATCGGTGAAGGTGGGGTACTATACCAACTAGAGTGATGGTTGGTGGTACTCTCCTGCAACCACAATCCTTCTTGTGACATGGCAGGCCACTCTCAAGCCCTACAAGCATCAGATCACCCATTTGGGGAGGGTTGACATCGTGATTTCCGCGGAAATTTTCTTTTTCTGCTGTGAAAGTTCCAGCTTGAAGAGAGGGAAAAACCCGACGGGAGGGCCCAGACCTACCCTACCTACCCCGGCATGAGGCCCGCCCAAGCAAGAATAACACACACCTGTCTCTCTCTCTCTCACACACCTGCCGATGCTGGACCCCGTCTCGTTGACAAGAACGCGCTGTCCGCGCGCGGCAGCGGGCTCTCGCGCCAGTCGCGCTCGCCGTCGCCCGACTCTCCGCCCGCCAAGCGGGCCGCCTCCGCTGACTCGTCCGGCTATGAAACCGATACGCCGGACGAGGTGCAGCAGGAGGCGGTCCGCAGGGTATGCGGCGCGCTCGGCATGAGGGAGCAGTTCGAGGCGGCGATGGCGGCGGGCGAGCTGCTCGAGATGCTCGAGAGCTTGCCGCGAGGGGCGGTCGAGGCCTCTGTCCGACAGATGCGGGGTTACAACCGCACGGGCGAGTGGCCAGAGCCCATTCTCACCAGCCCTGCCCCGCAGCGCGGCCGCTCGCCAAGCCCCGTCGATGAGTGGTCAGATGGTTAGTGCCCGAGAGCGAGGGGTCCGGGGGGGAGCACAAACATACATGTAGGACGCCCAGCCTTGCCCTCGTGCCGCCGAGTGCATATCCTATGCGAGAGAGATCCCCTGTGCCCTGTGCCCAGCCCTCTCCGCGCGGCGATGCGCCCTCCCCCCTCGCTTTTGCAAAATCCTGCAAAGGTGGGGACGTGTCTGTCCTCGACCCAGCCCTAGCTTGGGATGCCCGTTGTATTTATTTATTTATTCACACACCTGAAAGATGAAGAAAAAGCGCTTCCCCTATTGCCCTAGTCATGGCGCAGGAGGGGATAGTTCGTGTGAATTGTGAATGAACTGTGGGGGCCCGTGTTGCATGTCTGACTGTGCGATTTCGCCCGGGGTTGTGCGTTTTGGTGAATGAACAGCGTCTAACCGAAACGGGAAACAGAGATCGACTCGCCGCTGAGATGATGTTCGATGGGTGGCCTTACGTCTGTCTCATATGGCCACCTTTTCAAAGTTCCGGGAGCCTCCCGCCGCGCTCTCCGAAGAGTGGCGGAGCTGGTCGACCGCGAACTCCGTGAGCCCGGCCGACCTCTCCAACGCCGCAATCCGGCACGCACTCGCGGTCACTCGCTTTTGCAGCGCGCGCTCACTCGGCTGCACGTGGGCGGAGCATCACGCGCTGCTGGACATGAGTCGCGCGCCATACGCTCACCTGTACGACCAGCACACCGTCCCGAGCGAGGCGCGTCCCGGCGCCACGAGCTGTGCGCGGCTTCACCGCCCGAACGCCTCGCAGCTGCTCGCGCTGGTCCGCGACTCGCAGCCGGCAGTGCTCACCGGCCTCCTGGACGGCTGGCCGGCAACGCGCAAGTGGACCGACGAGTACCTCGCGGCCGCACTCGGCGAGCGCAGAGTGGCGCTCTCGGTCACAGAGGGCGACTCTTGATACTCGAGTTCGCGGAGTATCATCGTATGCCAGATCATACCCCAGGGCTATACCCTGATACCCTCTTGAGAGGACCCGCATTGGGCCCCTAGAGGATAGGCTGATACCCTGGTGGGTTACCCTTCACACCGGACACGACCCCCCTCTTCACACCTCTTCGCGCGCGCTGCGCGCGCGCCAAGACAGACAACGCGCTCGAATGAGCGTCGCGCAGGAGGGAGGCGAGCGCACCACTAAGCAATGCGCTGGGCGAGGAGGGCGCTAATGGCGGCCGTCGTCGCATTTGACGGGCCCGCGGCCGCAGCCGGTGCGGCTGCAGCCGTGGGAGGGGCCGCGGCCTGCACGGCTGCGGCCGGGGCCGGCGCCGCGGGGGGCGCGGGGTTAGGCGCCGTGGCGGGCTCCGCCTTGGCGTGAACTCCGGTGTCCCCCGCCGCCGCCGTAGACACTGCTTGCAGTGTGTGATATGCACACATGCGGGCGCTGCCCAGGAAATCGTTCTCGAAGTCAACATGGCACCGGCAACATCCGGTGCTGCGCCGTCTCTTGCAGACGCATGGCCGCTATCAACAAGACTTTTGCACGGCCCACACGCGCCAGAGAGCGGATCCCCCGTATCGCCGTCTCAACTTGCGGGCGGCGGTATAAAGGTGTCAATCAGCGCCGAGCAGAGCGGCGTCGG